TTACATCATATTTGGAGGTTCTGATATCACCCATGTAACAATTTCACTGTAAATTCAGAGTGAAAGCTGCCCCAGGTATTTCCAAACATGTCATGTTTTAATTGGCTTCCCAGGCAGACATCGGACAGTCTACAAGTCACACTCGCTTAATTTTATATTGATTTTCTAAAAAACTTCTTGTTTCTATGACAACCCTAATCAATTAACTTCTTGTAAACAGCAAGACAATGTTTTTCTTTTTCTTTTTCTCTTCAAAGAAGCCTGAATATTTTCTTTCCAGGAAAATAAGCACTGGCTCTTACTTGGAGAAACTACACTACCCTGAAACAGTGGTGGAAGGCCTTCATATTTTGAAAACATTTGGAGAATCTACATGGAGAAAGTGCATAGAATTGCCTGGAGCCAACTTATGAACAGCAAATCTCTTCGTAGTTGTGTTTCTAGAAGACCTCTTTAGCTTCCCGCACACAGCTTTCCCTTGGCTTTCCATTACCCCAGAGACCTAGGGTCCGGCAGTCACATGTGGAACCCTGGCACCCGGAAAAACAACCATGTTGGCCCTTGGTGTCAGTGATGTACCAAGCCAGGGGCAGCCACTTGTGACAGCTTTGGTTAGGAGTACAACTGTCTCTCTTAAGAAGGAAATTTCGGCACTACTAAAATGTGAAGATTTGGGAGTGAGGTGGGGCTCTACTTTAACCCGAGCCTACCACTCATTCTTAAGGACAGGCCAAGAATCAACAGAAACAAGATTTAAGGAAGTAACTAAGAGTCTAACAGTGTACTCAAGCCCTAAGGCCAGTTGAGAAATGTTGGAGACATTTCTGTGTAACCCAGGTTGCCTTTCTGTGCCTGTTGGAGACCACTACAAAGTGGCCCTGAGCAGGATTTAATGTTAACCAACTGGCTTTCCATGTTTACTTGTGAGTTGTCTGAAGCATAGGCACTTCGTCTAAAGATGGGCAGTGGACTCATAGTAAGTAAACCTCTGTGAGTCCCTGGTCACCACTGAGGTCTGCATTGGCCTGTGAAGCTGTGACTCCCCGAAGGACAAGAAAAGACCACATCTGAGGACGTCTGGATCCAACCCCAGTTAACCACAAGGAGACTGCAGCTGCAGGCTCCACACTTCTACAATAAATACCAACCTAAAGGGAAGGTAGTTCTCCTGAATGACATAATTTACTACTTGGGAAAATTCTCCCAAGGTCCTGTTAGATTCCCATGTTCTTTTGAGTATCCCCCTTCTTTGCTTGAAAACCAAATAAATACGGTCCATGCAGAGAAGTCTTTGTCTAAACCCAGAGAATATTGAAGCTGTAAGAGAGAGAGAGACCTTCCTGGAGCCCTGAAATCATTTCAACTGTCTCATTTATCTAAGCCTTCGCCAGCCACACACTTGGGAGATTTCACATCTGATCAGTCCACAATAATTAAGGGTTATTTAACCCGATATAAGCACATTAAATTCTGAATTTTTGGTTCCCTGTTGTATAAAATGCCATTAATACATGGTCATCTCCAGTGCACACTGGGAATTCTCTAGACTCAACCACTCTTTTCTTTCACCCAAATCCATGCTTCTATCCCAGAGACCTCTCCAAAGCACAAATAGTCAGGACAGTTTCCTGTGGCAAATCTGCCTGTGTCTGACAGTGCAGGCCCAACCACCAAGCATGCAGTCTTCTATCCCACACAGCAGGCCTCAAGCCGCCTCCCCCACCTCATCTTGGGTTACTTCCTTCATTTATTTCATCCTAGCTGCTCCAAAGCAAGTCTGTTACACGCTTTCAACCTCCTCAAGCTGCACGCCTGTCGTAAGTATTCTCCTAGTGCCCCCTTGTGTGAAATCTCTCCTTGTGCCTGTCCACTTGGCCGCCTTCTGCTCAAAACCTCAAAGGCAAGGACATCTTCACAAACACCGCCTTTCCAGCAGTGCCAGGAGCATCTCCCAAAATAAAGAAACATTAAATTTCACCAGGTAAAACAATCTCACTTTTTTGGTTTCAACATGAAAACATTTTTTTGTGTGTGCCCAATGGAAAATATCTAGATGCCATTTCATCAGAGAAGTCATAGGAAAAACTCAGTTTGAGTATCTATAGTCTGAGCTGTAAATATCCAGTATTAGTCAGATTCCCAAAGCCAATCAACAGTAACTCATCCCAAAGCAAGCAGTCATGAACTGTGAGAAAAGGGGCACATTTTGGAAAATATGCCGCCTCGAAAATGAGCTGATCCACACCAGCTTTAATCACCGATATCTCCATGAGGTCCCAAGTGTGTCATTTCTAACATAGTAACACTTTAACATCGGTGTGAATGGATACACTGGAGTCAAACAAGTTGAGTAATTTGTATGTGTTCTTGGTATGCAGCAGGCTGCCCTCCACACCCAGGCCTGTCTGTCCCGACTGCGCTCGGTTCCCACCCCTCCGCGCTGCCCCTGCTGGAGGCTGTGCCGTGACCACAGGCAGGGTTACACTATGGTCCCTGTCTCTTACACAGGCATCAGGGCCTTCTCTAGCCAGGTCACTGCAGCTACTCTACGCCTGTGTATAAAGGGAGCTCGTGGTGTGGGCAGACGGGTTTACAGCCACCTCAAGCAGCAGAGAGCGAAGGTCGTGCACAACAGTAAAATCCCATCCATAAACACTTCTTTAAAGTGTGTGTCTGATCTACCAGTACCCTTTATATTTTTGGTTCCATTCCCTAGAATATTATTTACATTTGTCGAAATAACAGTAATTGCAGTAGAATTGTGGCATGACACAAATTATCACTGGGTTATTAAATACAGTCTCATGTTCATCTTGAAAGACTTTTTGCTGATATCCTCAATGAGCATTCAGCAATGTTCAACAATATTTTTCAGACAAATGCAAAGTAAACCAAGGACCTGATTAAAAAGTCAGAAAATGTTACTTCCAGATGAGACCCAATATGACACCACGCACGCGTCCACGGAGCATGTTTAGAAGCCTCTGTTCCCAGGATTCAGAGTTAGCGCTGCTAGAGTTTGAGCTCTGGAGGAAAGCAGGGAACCGAGCTATTTATGAGCATCAGAGGAAGCAGTGTGGGGTGGGCCGCACAGGTCCACTCAGGGAGGTGAACCATGTCCCTCTCTACACACACACATGGAGGTTTCATCTCAAAAGAACTCCTGTGTCCGCACTTAGCCCATGGCCAGTGAGAAAGCTCGCCCCTAATGCCGAGTTCTCAGTCTGTTCTCCTACAATGACACCATTATTAAGAATCAAGGCCTGAAAACGTGCAAGATGGAAAACAGCAAAACACTGAGGTTATCTTGGAGGTGTTTTAAAATTTTTTTCAAATCATCTCCAGCCCTTGCTAGAGCTGAAGCCTGCCCTGCCCCCCGGCCTCTAACCCCAGGGAAGATCCAGGTTAAATACAGACAAGGCTAGGCGGCCGTTCTCTGCCCAGTAACACAGTTCACGGTAACCAACTTTCCTCCCAAACTAAAGAACACTTCAAATACCGCTGGTAACAGGGCAGAATGGGTCTGATGCCATCGGACGCACACATCACCTGACACGCTCTGTCCTGTGCCACGCTCCAGCCTTGTCAGCTACATCTGGGTGTTTAAACACAGAGGGGAAAAAAGGTGCTGTTAGTGATAAGACAAGGCTCACTCACCAAGAGTGAGGCAGGAAGCGGGTGTCAGGAAAAACGGATGGAGAATACAGATCAGTGCGTCTCATCCATCCAGGCGGAGCTCAGACTCTGAACTCAGAGGGGCTCAGATGTCCCACCAGGACAGAAGTGGCCCACAGCCGAGGGGCAGCCATCTTCAGTGAGGCGCCTGCAGTCACAGGCAGAACCACATGCAGTGGAGAAGACCTGGACCCTCCTGGCTTATTTAATGTAGAAAGGTGGAACACCTTGACTTGGGTGATAATTATGTAATTCATCATTTTAAAACAAAACATATCCTGAGTGGTAAAAGTTAAAAACTTAGCTGTTAACTTGCAGATTTCTGGAATATGTATTGAAATACAGAAGGTAAACAATTTCACTCGGATAAGCTTGCAAATATTTGTAGAAGTTTAAAATAAATTCCATAAATATTACACACAAAGGGGCTGGGGATTTAGCTCAGCGGCAAAGCGCCTGCCTGGCAAGCGCAAGGTCGTGAGTTCGGTTCCCGGTACCGGAGAAAAAAAAAAAAAAATTACACACAAAGAAGCACATGGTAGAGATCACAGGAGGACACCCCGGAAGTGAAAAGAACTTGACAACAGCAGGGTTATGACATCACACTAAATAAAGATTCACTTTGGGGGGTTGGGGATTTAGCTCAGCGGCAAAGCACCTGCCTGGCAAGTGCAAGGTCATGAGTTTGATTCCTGGTACCAGAAGAAAAACAAAACAACAACAAAGAAAGAAAGAAATAAAATTAAGATTCATTTTGCATCATATAATTCCTGATCAGTTAAATATCAGCCCTTGCAAGTTCCATAGGACAGCCCCTCCCACTAAAGAAATCTAACTAAACCAAAGAAATGATTCAAAACACTGAGTGTTTTGCTCCACAGGGACCAAAAAAAATCTTGATTAACTTCAGATAACATGAATATAACACTGACCCTATCTCAAATTCATTAGGTTAAGTGGAATAACAAAGCAAATATATATGTAATTAGCTAATAAATACAGAAAAAGACAAAATAAACCTAAATAGCTAAAAGTTCAAATCCAATAACATGTTGCACATTCTGTTTACTGAGAAAAATCTCAGTCCATCTCCTGTATTATGTTTAGGCATCAGGACGGCTTCTGCCAGCTGTCAGAAACTCCTATCTAATAAAAGGCTAACATCCTTCGGCCTTTCCGTACAATCCTCTGTGCATCAGTGTTCTAATGTCTGTGCTCCAAGGCTATCTTTAGCTCGCTTTTGTTATTCCATGAGACATTCCAACCCACTACACAAGGAAAGGCAGACCTGGAAGACCGAGGAATAGTGACAGGTATGTTCTCACCTGCAGGCCTTCGATAGCCAACCGCAGCATGCTGGGGGTGAGTTTGGAGGCTTGCTTGAAGGTGAAGTTACTCCAGTCTATGATCAAAACAAACCCATTGACTTGAAGCTCAGGATCTTCGATCATGGCTTCTAAAGAAAGTAAGATGGCACGCAGGATATCCACCAGTGTGTACCTAACAGCAACAGAAAAGCACCAGGTTAAACCTGACAGTCACTTTGTAAAAATTCTAAAAGGCGCTTAACACAAATCTTTCCAAATGCCTCAGAAGTCTTAAGTGAGTTATTTTATCTGAAAAGCTTCTTTTAAGGAGTTTCCTTGCTGTCATTCTGGGGACACACCAGGGTGTCGCATGACTTCCACCCAAATAACAATGATTTGAAAACCCTACTATTTCATACTTTGTAGCCATTTTAATTTCCTCCAGGCCTTGCTATAATTTTCTAAAACCTCATTGCAACTGCTTCCAAAAGCAAGCATCATAACAGTGCCCTCAGTACATCTGTCACTGTTGTTCTCATAGCATTGTCCCTCAGTATATTAAGCACCTGCATTTGGAGATTCCACAGAGAATTAAAGTTGGGTTTTTTAAATTTTTCAAGACAGGGTCTCATTACATAGTTCAAGCTGGACAGAAACTCCCAGCAATCTTCCTACCTCAACCTCATGAGTGCTGGCATTACAGGCATACCCACCATACCTCACTCAAAAATGTTATTTAAAACTGGAAAACTGGCATCTGCATTGAGCATACACAGACTTTTTCTTGTCTAAGCAATAAAATATAAGACTATTTACACACTATTTTCATTGTACTAAGTATAAGTAATCAGGAGACCATTTAACCAGAGATGAGTGACAGTATTCGGCACATCACATGCAAATTCCGAGCCACTTTACAGAGGGATCTCAGCACCCACAGCACGGGGGGGGTGAGGAAACCCACGGCCAACTAGATTGGCAAACTGAAGAATGAGGTTTGGAAGGCTCAGCAATAAGCAAGAGCACTTAGGGGACAACTATGAAGAAAAGTGTCAGCAGACTTCAGTAACTTCCACCACGTTTGTGTCTGGGAGATGAAAGAAAGCAAGGTGACAGGGTAGAAAGAGAGGGAAGTCAGCATGAACCAACAGTGCAAATGTGCCCCTCTATGATAATGCAAGTCATCCAAACTAGGGGAGGACCTTTAGCTTTTCTTCTTGCACAAAAGCACAATTCTTGACACGTTCTAGAATCCCAGTAAGTACACCAGTTCCTGAACTGGGACAAGACTGGGGAGCAAGGACCCTAGCTGTAGATTAAGATATTGGCTCCAGAAAGATAACAGAAGAACAAACATAAGCCAAACAGAAGGCACTGTAGAAGTAAGCACATTAAAGGTTGGTATTTGAGTAGATGACACTAAAATCAAAGAAAGAATAAAGAATGACACACAGATTCCAGCTTCAGAACCTGAGGAATCTTTCATCAAAATCAATTGTACAGGGCCAGGAATATAGTTCAGTGGTACAAGTGCCTGCCTGGCAAGTGCAAAGTCCTGAGTTCAATTCCGGGTACAAAAAAAAAAAAAATCAATTATACATTAATCCAAAAATCTTTGGGAGATGAGTGGAAATGTAAAATTTTGAATATAATCTGTTGCATTTGAGAAACCCGTAATACACTCTGAAAGTTACACCAAGTAAAATAGATTGAACAATAGATTCTAAACTCAGAAGAAAACAACACGGAAAATTCTGGAATACAAAGCATTTAGACCCTACGATCAAAGAGATGGAGGGCATAATACAGTCAGTGTTGAGAGAAGTATCAGACAATTATTCTAAAATAGAGTATTTTAAAAGAATTCAACAAATGGATGGAGGATGTTAACAGTTTCAATTTCTGTACAGCCCATAATTTAAGATGTTTTGTCCTGAAACATTCAGGTGAAGTCTGAGAAGAGCTACAGAGACCTGGACCTTGGGCTGAAGCGGGGTGTGGAGAGGCTGGGTTAGGAGTGAAATCACTGCAGTCAGAGGAAACATCCGGCTCACTCTCGAGACTGCAAGTGCTTAGAGTGAAGCGATGACCTACGCCCTAGGAAACAAATTTTTCCAGCTATTCCTCCCAGCTCAAGGTGCATCCATTTTCCCATAAATGAGTCAAGTTTTCCTACTTTATGGCAGAGCAGTACTGTACTGTGTGTAAGTGCCACATTCGGCCACTTCCAAGATTTATTTGCTGTCTTTAACTCTTGGAGGAAGGTACCTAGAATGCGAGTAGGAAGGTTGAATGGAGCTTCTAGCTTTAGCTTTTTGAGGAATCTCCACACTGATCTCTATACGTAAGACAGAGGACTAATATCTAGACTATATGAAGAAGTCAAAAATATTAGACCACCTAAAATAAAAGACCCAATCAAAACTGGAAAGTGAAATGAACAGACACTTCTCAGAAGAAGTTAGTACATGAAGTACATGTTGAAATGCTACATAAGTACATGAAGAAATGTTCAACATCACTGGCCATTAGAGAAATGCAAATTAAAGCAACACTGAGATTACATCTCACTTCAGAAAAAATGGCTATCATCAAGGAATCAAAGGGCCAGGAATATGGCTCAGTGGCACAACGCCTGCCTGGCAAGTACAAGGTCCTGAGTTCAATTCCCGGTAACAAAACAAAAAAACAAAGAAAAAGAAATCAGACAATGACAAATGCTGGTGGGGACGTGGGGGAAAAGGAACCTTTCTGCACTGTTGGGAGTGTAAACTAGCACAACCACTGTGGAGATCAGTATGGAGATTCCTCAAAACACTGAAACTAGAAATTCTATTTGACCTAGTGGTCCCGTCCTTGGTATCTTCCTAAAGGGTTAAAGACATCATATTACAGTGAACCATGCACACCCATGTGTATAGCAGCACAGCTTAGAACAGCTAAATCTTGGAAGCGGCCAGTATGTCCATCAACTGATGAATCAACAAAGAAAATGTGGCATTTACATACAATGGAGTACTACCCTAGCATAAACTAGAATACTTGAGAGTCACTTTTAGGAAAACCAATGCACCTTGAGACTGTAGTGTTAAGTGAAATACATCAAACATGCAAGTTTACATGTTTCTTATATGAGAAACCCAAAGTATAAATAAATTGAAGAACAAAATTAAAGGTAATAAGCAGTAGGTAATTACTAGGTAACAGGCAGAATGTGTCTTCTTCAAACGCGAAAGAGACTAAGAGCCAGAGGAAGAGAGAACAGGAGAGTGGGATGAAAAGGAATGCACACGTATCAACTCCCCGCAAGGGATGGCACCATCACTGCAAACATGCGCTAATAAAAGAAAAACTTTTAAAAAGAATTTAAATAGTACAAAAGTGCAACAAACGAAAACAAAAGTAAACCGAGCTGTTCAGAAAACTTTAAATTTCAAGGACTAATGTGTACTTTTAATATCTGAGGGGACAAAATAATGTATTTTTTAAGATCCAACAGTAAGGAAATAATTTTTAAAAATAGAAACATTTAGAGGCAATGCAAACAATGTAGTAGTTCAAAAAGGAAAGAAAAATTAATAGTAGAACTTCAAGAGATTTCTCACCTTCTCGGAGCCTCATCCCCACCCCCGTCAGTAAATCAGAATTCGGTACAGAACCTTCTTCAGGATTCCAGTGTTAACCAAGCACAGGGAGCAGGAGACTTCAGGACGAAGACCCTGCCATGCCGCTCGGTAAGTCATGAGCTGAGAATCAAGAGGCTGCTCCTTTGTCTGAAAGGAGCAGGAACTGCACCTCTCCCACTCTCTCAGCGGTGGAGGTTAGGGTAGTGTCGCAAAGCCAAAAAGACAGTACTGGTGAATGGATTTGCACAATTCTAGGTATACAGCAAGTGTTCAATACACATTAGTTGCAATATATTTGTCATAATAATAGTCCTAAGTATAGTACACCAGGCAGGGTATAATCAGAACTGAAGAATGATTTACTTCAAAAGCCAATGAGGATCATTAGGACAGACTATCATGATTATAAAAAGCAATGATCAAGAGATTATTTTTGACCATCTGGATGGTGTATGGTGGGCCTTTTTATAGCCTAGTGGTTTGGTATCCATTAACATTTCCTGAGTACATAAAAAAATAAAACTTTTTTGTGAAGCTTTATTATTTACTGGCATTAAACCTGTGAAAAATGCATGTTTAATATCACCAGCATCACCTCACCGTTGGCCTATATCCATTGTAAACATAATGTCCTAACACAGCGCTATGACCTGAAGCCTACGAACCTACAGAGATGGGAAAGTTGGAGCAGGAAGGCTATACTTGTGGGTAAGTTCAGATGACTTAATAAAAACCACTTTACTGTCTGAAATTAACAATACTAACATGGTAAAACAATTAAAAATCAAAAAATTCCAACTTAGAATGCTCTTTCATTGTGAGGATGATTTATTCTTGTTATTCATGAGAATATCAAAGAGCACTAATATCACAATACCATAGAATAAAACTGGACTCTGAAATCAGCTTCAGAAGGATGATACATTTCTATGTAGTAAACATCAATCATGCATCAGTCAGGGATGAAAACAAGAGATGATTTTTTTTAAATGAACGTCCTTGAAGTATGGTTCTTCTCCTGTCAAAATCAAGAGAAAAATTTCTATATACCCCTTTATTTCAAAGCAAGCGAAGCAAGTCCCCGGGTCAGTGAGGAAAGAAAGGAGTTTTCAAGAGTAAATCTAACAATTTTTAAAATGCTAACATCTTGCTCTCAGAAGAGAACTCAATGATCTTCATACAAATCATATTCATTTATGTGTGAGAAAAGAAAACGTAACAAGCACCCTAGCCAACAGCATCCGAAGGGCAGGTCAGCATCACTCTTGACTTCGCCTGGTCCTGTGTTGTTAAACATGTCACATTATTACCATTAGCAACAACACAGCAGGCTATTCCTCAGAAGAACATCATTACATCAGCTCTTCCAAGGTCCAGAAATACCTTCCAAAGATGTGCAGCATCTACAGATTTATCTCTTCAAGAATCGTCTCCTCATTCTCCTCTTTTCAAGCAGCTTAACATGTAATTCACACCATAGTGAAATACTTCACGTGTTCACATGAGGGAACGATACCTAAACTGTATGAGCTCCACTGCTGATATTCGTCCCTTATACATTGGAAGA